ATGCATTCAGAAAATATGTAATTAACATGTGTGTGAAAATGTAACTTTGAATCAAAGAAAACACCCAGGTCCTTAATACTGATGGTGCGTGTAATGATATCATGACAAAGCTGATACTCGTAGCTCAGAAAATAATAATAATAATAATAATAATAATAATAATAAGCCTGTCTACAAAGAACCTGGATTATATGGAAACATGACTTCATTACAAAATATATTCAGTCTCAATTAAAAGCAATGTAAAATTAACCTCTAACAAATGAACAGTTTCAACATGCAAATGAGAATGTAATGGGATACACCCTGCTTAAAATTGTTTTCAGTTAACATAATTTTACAAATTATAAATCACTCCGTCCAATGTGACCTGTAAGTTTTTATGTAGTAAAAAACTTACAGGTCACATTGGATGGAGTGATTTATAATTTGTAATTGTTATTGTGACGGACCAGAATGTAACAAATCAAAAATAACATAATTTTGTTCCATACTATGGTTTGCAGATTTACTGGAGGATGATCACTCTTTGGAGGGGGGGGGGAGAAAGACAAGGAAAGGAAAAGAAATGGTGGAAGAAATCTGAAAAATGTATACTGCTGTGTTAAAGTATAGAATACAGTATGGCACTAACAAGACTGAATGGTTAAGGAATGCCGGTCCCACTACTGTTGTCCTTCATAATGCATAACCTAAAACCATCTAGCACTTGTGTGATGTAGTGTACCTGCCAGGGTGGTCAGGACATGAGGATGGTGATGCATGCAAAACAGTCTATAGCTTCAGGAATCATATTTGTGCAACAGCTATCAATTGTAGGAATTCCCTCATCACACATTCAGGTTTCACTTATTTCTCTAAACTTACTCTAGTGTAGTATACAGTGTAACATGAATTTTCACATGATTTGTATTGTATATACTGTGCAATATGTTTTTTCTGTGTTAAATAGGAAACCTATCTGAAATTAAAAGAAACAATGTTCTGGTGCAGGATTTACTGCATATTGCAAGGCAGCACATTCTAACAAGAATTTTCTTTATCAGGGGATTATAGTGAAGTCTTCTTGAGTGACCACCTGTGTGATAATGGAGTTAGTATCCAATGTCTAAGAGACTGTCTCTTTCTCCACCATCGGGAGATGTCATGAATGGCAAGGCTGTACACTGTATTTGTACTTCAAATGTATGCACTCAGAGCCTAGTGTTCTGTCCAGGTACACGCCATTTGGGGAACACTGGCCAGTCATGCAGTCAGTGATCACAGTCTATGCTGATTTACGTGGAGACTCAGGGATGCTAACTGTTGCTGGTCCTTCATTCTGATGTTCTTTGATGAATCTGCTTCGTTGAAGCATGCTGGTGACCAAATATGAAGAAAGATTTAGATTAAATCATGTATCTCTGTTAAGGTTACAAGGGAGAGCCATCATTAAACATCAGAACAAAAGGACCAACAGCACCTCACATCCTGGAGTGTCAAGTTTAAATATGAACTGTGATGACTGACTGCCTGACTGTCTACTCTGTCCCTCATGATCCATGCCTGGACAGGACACTGGGCTCTAAAAGCATACTTTGTGGGTATAAATACAAAATGTGGCCACATCTCTTATCATGTAAACCTCTGATGATGGAGACAGAGACTTTATCTTCAGATGGCTAATCATCCTAGAAGACTTCATATCACACAATCAGCTTGAAAGCCAAATTGTATATACATACGCGGATATTACAAAACTAAAAATACCTGTGACTAACTCTATGAAAGGACACAGTCTTCTTGAACAATAAGGGAATCTTAATTGTTTATAGAAACTGTCACTGTTAAAAATGCTTTATGCAATAGGCACAATGTTCAGTTCTGTTCTTGCCTACAGTAAAGGATTATGCAACACATCTATTATACTCTCACAGTGCTACACACTTTTGCCTCTGTACTTTTAATAAAGGAATCTTTATTTCACTAAAGTAAATATAAACGAGTGGCAAAGAAATTTAGCTTTTTCCTTTTCACCAAGACTTTCACCAAACCATTCTGTAAAAATGGACAATTTTCCAAGACAGTGAGTATTTCAATTCCACGTCTGTCCTGGTAGCATGGCACATGGCATAGTTGGTTGAGGCACTATGCTACAAGCCAGATGGTCGTGGGTTGATTCCAAGTGAGGTCATTGGATTTTTTCTTCAATGTACTTAATCCTTCCAGCTGCACTACGGCCCTGGGGTCACCTAAGCCTCTAACAGAAATGAGTACCAGGGGGTAAAGGGTGGCCAGCGCATAAGGTTAACAACATACCGCCATCTCAACCTGTGGTCTGCGATGATGGCACAGGTGGCCCGCAAGCAGACATAAATTAAATTAAATTATTCAAACAAAACAAATTAAAATTAAATAAGCAAGTAAAAGTTGTTGAAATGAAATGCATACTGAAAAAAAAAAAGCTTTCTAAATTCCATGAAAATTTCAATGACCAGACAAGAATCCATATTTCCAGGGTATGAGGGTGTGACTGCGTTGTCACTAACTTCAGAGGAGGGACCACACCACGCACGCAGAAAGACTGACAATAAAAGAGGGGTGCACTGACAATATTATGGTTTTATTGCTCCCACTTTCCCTTGCTGTTTTGTTAGATTTGAAGTAAACATGTGTTGTCCACATTTCAACCAATTGGTTGTTTATTATTATTTATTACTGAAAGTTTTCCTCTTTCAATGAACGCTCAGTATATCTTCATAAGTGCTAATTGATAGCTGGACAAAGTGTGTCGTGAGAGAACTCCAGTTTTTATATACATTTTTTGGAACATTTTTGATAATGGAAAAGTGGCTTAGAACAGGGACTTTCAAAGAAAAGAAAACGAAACAGGTGATGCTAACCCTCATTGTTATGCACATGTTGTAACAGCGAGTAAATGTGATACTTTCAAAGTCGAAGAAGCAAGCAGTTCAAAGAAAAAATACAGTAGGAATTATGACGGTTCGTATTTGGAATTTTGGTTTACTTTGTGAGGTGATGAAAGTGAACAGAAACATCAACGTGTTTTGTTATGAAGTGTTGTCGAATGAGTGCACGAAACCTGCAAAACTCTGACGACATTTAGAAACTAAACAATGTGATGTGAAAAATAAGCCAATCAGAGTTTTTCAGCAACACTTAGGGACATTAAATCATGGGCAAAATATAATTTCGGTCATGGGTTCGATTAATACCAAGGCATAGGCCGCATGATAGTTCAAGCGGTTAGTTGCTGGCTTCCCACCGCGGTAGCCAGGGTTCGATCCCGGGTCTGGTCAGGTGGGATTTGTGGTGGACAAAGTGGCGCTTGGGCAGGTTTTCTCCGAGTACTTAGGTTCCCCTGCCAATTCTCATTCCGCCAAATTCTCCATCATCATAATCACCCAGGGCAGGCTACAATAGGCCAATCAGTGGCTGCCATGCCGAGTGGACCCAGTTGGACTCCACCCGCAGTAAGTGAATTAAAAAAGAAAACAGCAAGGCATTGGAAGCAACGATATGGTAGGAGACGTAGAATCTCAGTTAATCAAAAGCGTTAAGAAGAGCCCTTATTATGTGTTACAAATAGACGAGGCTACTGATGTTGCAAATGATGTGCACTTAAATATGCTACATAAGATATTCGTATGATAACAACATTCATAACAATATTTTGTTTTGTAGAACTTTGTCAACCCGAACAACTGGAGAAGAAATATTTCACACTCTCAATAATTACACAAGAGACAAAGGGATCCAATGAGAAAAATGTGTGGGCTTCTGTTCGGATGGAGCTCGTGCCCTTACAGGCAGGCATAGTGGGGTTGTTTCTAAGGTCAAGGAAGTAGCTCCAGATATGAATTGGGTACACTGTTTCATACATAGGGAAGCGTTGGCTCCAAAAGAATACCACCAGAATTTAAAACTGTGCTAAGACAAAGCTGTAAACTAGTTAATTTTATTAAGGCTTGACCATTAAGTAACAGGTTATTTTCTGTACTCTGTGATGAAATGGGCAGTAAATATACAAAACTTTTACTTCATTCTGAAATTCGCTGGATTTCCAGGGGTAGAAAAAAATACTAACAAGGTTATTTCAATTAAGGCACAAAGTTTTACTGTTTGTAAATGAACGTAATACTGATTTTGCATCACTCCTTGTTGATGAAGCATGGTTATTAGCACTATCCTATCTTTCAGACATTTTTCCTAAATTAAATGAACTAAATCTCTCCCTTTATGGAAATTCTTAAACTGTTCTTCGTGCCTATGACAAAATGAAGGCATTCAAGAAAAAACTGGTGTTATGGATTAGTTCTGTAAAAGACAGAAAATTTGCACTTTTTCAAACATTGGAATCCTTTTTAGTGGAAAATGATATTTTGGTTGAATCTGAGTTTCTGGAGAGGGTTTGTGACCACCTCAAAACTGTGAAACAGAAATTTGAAACATATTTTCCGAATAACTTTTATGAGAAATTTCTGTGGGTTTGCCATCCATTTCCAGCTTACAATCACAAAAACGACCTTTCGTTATAGAAAAAAATTGAGTTAATTAAGCTTTCAAGTGACAGTGGGCTTAAAATGCAATTCCGTGTTCTTGGTTTGGTTCGATTCTGGATCTCGCCCTCAGTGAGAAGTGAATTTCCCGAATTATCTGAAGAAGCACTGAAAATCATCATGCAGTTTTCAATAACCTATCTTTGTGAGAAAGGATTTTCATTGCTCTTTCAAATAAAAACAAAATATAGAAATCGTCTTCGTGTGAGTGCCGATCTTCAACTGAAGTTGACCAATACTGAGCCAGATATCCAGGAACTCTGTAAGGGCCGACAAGCTCAACAATCAATCAATCAATCAATCAACAATCAATTCTTTATTTGTTTAATAAAGATTAAAACTTTGTTCAATGATGATTCACTTTTAATAATTTACTTCCAATGTAATTAATTATGTTTCCATATGTATTCAAAACATGCTTTTAGATTTATCATGTTATAAACGGTACAGTAGTCCAAAATATTGGTAATACCACATAGGTTTAAAAAAAGGACTACATAACTTAGTAGTTTGTAGAATTTTTTCAGACATTTTACTGGTCCTTGGGCTTAAAAAGGTTGAGAAACACTGGTCTAGAAAATGTAAGAGCCTGAATATCTCACAACCCTATGGGCCTGTTACAGGGATAGCTTTACCTTTTGGGCATGCGGTAGCATAACTGGTTGAGGCACTATGCTACAAGCTGGAAGGTCACTGGTTTGAATCCTGATGAGGTCATTGGATTCTTCAGTTGATCTAACCCTTCCAGCCGCATTGTGGCCCTGGGGTCAACTCAGCCCCTAACAGAAATGAGTACCAGGATCTTCTGGGGGGGGGGGTAAAAGGTGGTCACCACATAATGCTGGCAACCTCACTGCCAGCTGATTGTCTAGAAAATGTGGGAGCCTTAACATCTCACAACCCTATGTGCTCTCAGCCTGCTACAGTGATAGGTTTACCTTACCTTATTTGTCCTGGTAGACACAGTATATACAGCAGTTTTAACCATCTATCCTTCTTTTATGGTGCGTATATGTATGATGCCTTCCCATCTATATATATTCCTTACCATCAACAATTCCATTTCAGTGGTCATGAAAATTTATGTGGGAACAATACTATACTGTGTGTAAAGCATCTCTGAGGGTGCCTTATCATCAGACAGTGACAGAAGTCATTACATTAACATTCCAGAGTTACTAAATTTGTTTTCAATATACAGTGGAAACTGAATTCACCATACCAGAGGTCTCACTGAGTTCAAGAGTTCTCTTCTGTAAGGTTACCTAATCAAGGCATGATGTATCCTCACATGTGTTTTAGAGAAACAGTGGTATAATTTAATATAGAGTCTGAAATTTTAGGTGTAGATAGGTCTTACAAAAATTATACAACATTTCTTAACATCATTTTTGTGTGTAAACTAGAACAACAAAATAGCATCTGTGTGAAAGTACTGCTGTATTTGATAGCCATACATTATAAACATATCTAAAAAGTATTCTGTGAAACATCTAGTACACATTAAAGTCAACAAACATGGCAGTAGTGCAAAACTTCTTGGAGTTTAAATTCTGACACTTTTCAGGTAACATAAGTTTGTACCATTAAAAATTACTGACAAAGACAACTAATTTATCAGTTAAGATCTCCACTGTAACAGTGGTGTATTAGCTTATAATTTGAGATAATTTATCTCTATACATGAGCACTTATAGAAAATCAATAGTCAAAGAACTGGGACCTTTTGTTTCTTGCTGATTTTAATGCTGAAGTGAATTGAACATAATCTTTTATCAGTCATGTAGGTAGCAGATGCAGTGAAAAGTTACTTTACAAGAAAACAGCAACCAAAATACATACATATATAATATATGGAGCCATGCTTAATGGTGTTCTTTGGTCCAAGAACATACTTTTTACTTTCCCAGATAATATATGCAGCCAAATATCAAACTCACCTTAGGGCTGAAGTAGTTTACAACTTTGTCCATAGCAGCCAGTTCACTTGCTCTTTCTGTAATGACCTTGACAACATTTGGCATATGATTTAGTGGTTTCTGCAAATAAATACCATATGGACATTCCTTTCAGTCCTCTGTACCAGCCAAGTGGTAGTTGGTTATTTCATACAGTTACACAGACCATCACATAACTATTTTCCTATAAGCAAAGCCTCATAATATTCTGATTTCTCTATTTAGTAATTTAATATTCATCGGTAATGACAAAAATTTAATGGAGTCCTTTTACTCTCTCACCTTTAGGGAACTTCTTAAGCTATCCTATGATAGGAAAATGTGGTACAGTTTGCACATAATTCAAGAATTCCAAACTGTCATTAATCTCAGGGCATCCAAGAATTGTAATATGCTTTTAAGCATGGGCATATGAAGGACTAATGAGAGAAAATTAATAACAACTGAAATGCATTTCATGAGACAAATGACAGGTTAAATCCCTTTCAAGTGTAAAGTGAATAAAGAAATATAAACAGCATTAATAAATTTCATCTACAAGAGATTTTGTATAACACTATAGAAGAAGTTGAAAACATGTTGAAATTATGAGCCCTGATAGACCCCGTCAAAATTGTACAATATCAAATGGAATAAAATGATTTGGGAGATCTGAGAAATATTGGAAATATTCTGTTTTTAAACCTGTAACAGGCTAAACAGACATAATATTGTGCAAGACAATTTCAGATTGTGCCAACTTATAATTCTGAAATATGCAGTACTGATATAGAAGAAGTTACTCAGCACACTGCCCTCATCTTGACCCATTTTACATGACATTGAAATGTTAATGTAGGGACACACCATACAGTCATATGTAGTAAGCTCATTATCTAGCATGTGTGAGGAATGCAGTTTGCTAGTTACATGAGGAAAACTCATACACTTTCACTGTATGCCTCGCATGGCAGTCATCATAGGTGATACAGTGGGACTGATGGATGGAAGAACTACCACATGGTGAATAAACATATGCACATCACAAGTTACTTTTTGAATGATGTTATAAGAATAAATTGTCTTTGAAGTGTTTTCTAGCTGGATGAGAACTATGGATGCTTGAGTACTGAATAACCACAAGTTTACTGTATATGGTACATTAAAAGCATAGAAAGACTGAGTGGGTATAATCAAATAATGAAGAATTTCGAAGTTTTTATTTCTTAGAGTATTGTTCCAGTAATGAAATTGAGACTGTTGAGAAAAGCTACACATATAGCATGCATGAGGAAACAAGAAAAATATCATGATAGTAAGGAAACCTCATGGAAACTGGACACTTAAAGATGAATGTAGAGATAAATGAGGAAGTGATATTAAATTGAGTTCTAGGGAAGTGAAGGCTGTGATGATTCAAACTGAATTAACAGCCCAATTTCAGTCTCTTGCAGTAACAGTGATGGACTTGTAGCAAGGGCAGTCCCAGAAGAGCTAAATAATTTGATGTTTCAGTTTGAGTAATAGCTATTTATTTTCAGTCTTATTAATGAAACTTTTGCAAATGTTTCAATGGATGTGTGGTTACTGCTGCACTCTCACATTTCATTTATTTGTTTTATTATTAATGCAACCTGTTTCAGCCTTACATTACTATCATGAGGTATATGAGGTCTGACAATAAAGTTTGTGAACTCGCCACCATGTGCTTGCCATGGCACCAGTGGACAGAAACCTCAGTATGATTCGATGACATTGGCATATCGGCGTTTCATAAAGTTGTGTTGCTGTTGATCTATAGCAGTCTCTTTCTATTATTGTCTGAGTGTGTTTTGGTGTGCCATGGTGAGAATGTTGGGATGCATATTAAATTTCCTGGTAAATTTGACAAGAGTGAAAGTGGAACCAGAGATATGTTAGTGCAAGCTTATGGGGATAATGCTATGAAGAAAATAGCAGTTTACAAGTAGGTGACACTTTTGTGAGGGAAGAGAAAGTGTCACTGATGAAGACAGATTAGGACAGCCTGCAGTGAGCAGAACTGAAGAAAACATTGCAAAAGTTCATCAAATTGTGCATGAAAATCGTTGGTTGACTGTCAGGAGCGTAGCAGAGCAAGAGAACATCAACCATGAAACAGCTGGAAAATCTGAAGATCTTGACATGAGGAAGGTGTGTGCAAAAGTGGTCCCAAAGGACCTGCTCACACAGCACAGTCTGTGAGGGAGTACTTAGCTAGTAAACAAACAACTACTGGAACACTCTCCATATTCAACGGATCTAGCCCCAATAACTTTTTTCTGTTCCAAAGGTAAAGGAAATATTGAAAGGAAGGCATTTAATGACATTGATGACATGAGGAGTAATACAACAGAAGCTCTGAAGTCCATTCCACAAAACCAGTTCCAAAATTGTTTTGAAGGGTGGACTTCATTCAGTATTCAGTTATTCAGTATTGAGGGGGTGGGTTACCCCATGCACCGTGACCAGTTTGATCTATTGTGCGTCCCCCTTTGAATTTCTACTGTCTCCATACCCTACCGGTACTGGTGGTCGCTGTCGTTCCCCTTCTGTCAGTGAGGTTGTCCCTCCTCTGGCAGTGGTACCTAAGCTTCCCCATCTACCGGAGGCATTGGAAACTACTTGGGCAGGAAATTTGCCTAATTTAGCTCAGAAGTCTCCTAGAGACATGAGGTTCTTTTACATGCCGTAAATCTACGACACAGGACCCACGGCTTAAAGTCCCTCCCAGAGGACTTGTTCCCTGAGTTTTTCCGCCCTTAAAAATTCCACGACCTCTGCCGGGTTTGAACCCGCATACCTTGAGTCATGAGGTGGGAACATTACCCCTAGACTATGGAGGCCTCTAAGGGTGGACATGGTGCTGGCATTGGTGTATAGCTTCCCAAAGGGAGTACTTTGAAGGCAACCACAGTGATATTCATCAATGAGGTAACTTTCACTGTAATGAGTTCGCGAACTTTATTGTCAGACCACATATCATATGTGTACATCATAAATTGTACATACATCAACCTCCTATTGAAAAAAACACAAAGTAAAATTAATTACAGGTTTAAAGTTAAAAATTGGTTAAAATATGTTTAAAACTGAAATTGTTAATGACTCCAGTTTTCTTCTTTTGAGGATGCCAGGACAGCTTGGTAGGTACAGTGACAGGCTACAGGCAGATTGGCTGTGCTTTGGTTTCTGGCAGGGACAAGATTTTTCTCTTCTCCATAGTATCAATACTGGCTCTAAGGCCCACCCAGCTTCCTGTCCAATGGGTATTGTAGGCTCTTTCCTCAGTGGCAAAGTGGCAGGGTTATGGAGCTGGCCACCCACCTCCATCTAATGCTGAGATCAAAAATGGTGGAGCTATACCTCCACCTCCCCATTGTCCTCATGGCGCAGTGCTTAATTAAGTAAGCACATGGACTACCTTTATACCTTTTATACTATAGTGCATTTGTCATATGGGTATGGTCATCTCCCATTAATTGACATAATTGGTTCCATGAAACATTGTCGATTAATGATTCATTGGTTAACAAATCCAGTTTTAACTTTTGCTTTGCTTTTCATTATAGGGACCATAATTTCATTAATACTGTTAAGAAAGTTGCAAAATGTGAGTAAAAGCAGTGAACACTGATAATATTGTACTACCACACTACCAGAATGGCTGGCTGATGTGACTTGTAAATATTGGCAATGCACCAAAGCTTTTGTGACTGTTGACTGAGTGGGGAATGACAGTTGTTTTGATACTTAGACATGTTGCAGGAGTGCCAATGTACCAAATCATCAATTAATGGGGGATGCTGTATTTGATGAAGGTCTTGTTACACATGTCTCATTTGTCAGGTATGGTGTTCTTGACACTGAATAAAAATATCCTTCGGAGAATGTGTGATTGGTGTGCCTCATTATATATACATTTTTTATGCAGGTGTGTTGTTACTAGCCCATATCTATTGGATGTGTATTCATGGTTGGTGAGTGAAGATCGTTAATTTTTAATTGCTGAACTTTGAAAAATCTGTGATAGCTGCTTCTTCTTTGACATCAGGATCGTGCCAAAAGGGACTAGTACTGTATTTTCCTGAATGGAAGACAAGTTTTCCCCCTTTAAGGGTTAAAAGGTTAAATCTTATAGTTACTTCAGAGTATGACAGGAATGTGCTGATTGCTTTATAAGGCTAGCTGTCCTGGATTTGAGTTTTTGCCAGTAAACGTTATGGGAGGTGCTAGCAAGAAGATATGTGTGTGATGCATAGGTGTTATATGAACTGTTCCAGAGAATTAATATAGTGATATCTCTGAGAGAGAATATACTAAGTGATAGTGAAATAAATGTGTAAATATCATCATGTGGTGAACAGAGTGTCACCTCTGATAAAGAACAAAATGTCAATGACAGCAGCGGCATGCAGCATGGCAGACTGGCAAAGCCAGGTGCTGAGTGACCACATTTGCCATTTACTGGCAAGCATGGCATAAATGTTGATTTAGAAGACCCCAGTAATATTCTGTAAGTGGCCATGCCATAGCTCATGCAGTTAGTCGCTGGCTTCCCACCGTGGCGGCCCAGGTTCGATCCTGGGTCTGGTCACGTGGGATTTGTGGTGGACAAAGTGGCGATGGGGCAGGTTTCCTCCAAGTACTTCCGTTTCCCCTGCCAATCTTCATTCCACCAAATGCTCCACAATCACCCTCACCTATCAGCTGGGGCTGGTACAATGGGCCAGAAGTGGCTGCAGTACAAGAGACTTAGTCCCACCCCACTAGCAACAGAAAAAACATTCTGTAATATTTCAAGTTCTTTTGTACTCCAGAAATTGTGGAACAGCCAGAAAAACACATCGGTATACCCCAAAATAAAAAAAATGATAGGTTTCAGTCTACAAAGACAGAATAATGATAATGAAGTGGAAAAATGAAAAAGCTATTTGTTTTATAAGTGCCACTCATGATGACAGAAGGGTTCCAACTAGGGTTCATGGGTATTATTATTATTATTGGAGGGGGTGGGTTTCCCCATGCACCACGACCAGTTGTTGATCTATTGTACGTCCCCCTTTGATATTCTACCAGTCCCCATACCCTGCCGGTGGTGCATGCTATCAGCCCCGTTGAGCCAACGAGGTCGGCCCTCGGTACCTTGATGCTTCCCCCATCTACCAGAGGCATTGGAAACTACTTGGGCAGGAAATTGTTGACTAATTTTGCTCAGAGGTCTCCTAGAGACATGAGGATCTTTTACGTGCCGTAAATCCACGACACGGGACCCACAGCTTAAAGTCCCTCCCAGAGGACTTGTTCCCTGAAATTTTCCGCCCTTAAAAATTCCACGACCTCCGCCAGGTTTGAATCCGCGTGCCTTGAGTCATGAGGTGGGAATGTTACCCTAGACTACGGAGGCCACTGGGTTCATGGGTAAGACATGCAGAAGCCCAAAGTAGTCAATGATTATAATTCCAGGATGGGAGATGTGGACCTCAGTGGTACTTCATAAGCCATCATAGCACAAAGGGGGAGGGATATAAAAAATCACTATCATTTGACTCTGAATTCATATTTACAAAACAGAAAATGGCAGCAGAATTTTCAGAATGGAATTTCAAGTGACACTTATACAAAATTTAATTTCAAGATATCATATGAGAGAGAAGAGACTGTCAGGCAGACCACCAACAACTGCACCATCACCAAGAATGAATGCACCTCACTATCCCTCCTACATTGCTGTCACAGTGTCAAAGCAAAATCCATGTCAGCATTGAGTTATGTGCTACCGACAGGGTTAACGTTGTGAAACAAGGTACAACTGCAAAACCTGTAGGGTGGCCCTGTGTGCTGCATCCTGTTTCCAACATTACCATATGGCAGCTGACTTCTACAGGTGTGAAAGGGGATTGAGGTTCAACAAGTGGCTAAGAAGTGTCTGAAAAGATTTTTGTGGCCAGAAAGCGTACTATGGGCTGGTATAGAAAACTATACCATAATTATAAAGACCATCACCATACATGCCATTGGAGTTGCTGTAATGTGTGTGGTGGTATAATCATTTTAAATGATGATTTCATAGTCTGTATGAGAGAACAATTTTGTAGTCGATGTTTGGAAGAATAAATAAATTATTGCACAGTTCATTAATCCACAATAGCCCTGAGCTTGCGAAGGTAGTACAAATTCAGCACACACGGCAGTAAGAAATGTCTGTTATCAATGACACAGCTGGAGCTGTAGCGGGTCAAAATTGAATGCTGCAATAATCAAAGATGTGTGTGTTTAGGCTGGAGGTAATTTTGTCAGTCAGCTTCTATGATCATGCTTTGTTTCTAAACACTAGGCGCCAGTCAAGACTGCATACAGTGAATGTGCAGAAGTTAGACATATCTTTGCAGTCACATACTTGGAACTGAAATGCATGCCAGTGGTCAGTGGCATACTTCTTGAGAATAAAGCCAAAAGTACAGAATTTTACTAAAAATATATACATAAAAATCAACGTAACGACTATATAGATGAAAATATAGATATATGTGTGTGTGTGTGTGTATCAACTCTGATAATTGGTCTATCAGAGACTTTTTGTTTCGTAACTTTATAATGACACACAGTTGAGATAGTGAATTTTAAAATGGGAGCAACAATTATGAAATTTAGTGCCGCATTAACAAATTTAAATGCCCAGGAAATTTTAATGTCCCACTGTGGGAGAGATAACATGGATTTTTTATATATATATATATACACACACACACTTTAACTTGTTCAGGATCATTTAAAACAATTTTATTCTGAATAGCTCTTTGTTGGGGCTGGTGTTTTGACACTGCTGGGACAATAAAGAATTCCAGTGTAGAATCACTGCACCAGAGGCTCATGACCATGACAGCAGACCTCTCCAGAAATGATAGTGAAAGGTTTTATAAAATGCTGTATAACTGATGAACTGGATGGAAAGACAGATGATGAAGTTGGGAATGCTGACAGTGAACATGAGAGTGTAAGCAATGAATGTGAGACAGAAGAGGGCAACTGGGAAGACAGTGAAACTAAGACAATATGAATGGTGAACAGAGTGAGAATTATGATGCTGAATAAAGGCTAGTGACATCAAGAAGGAAAAATCACCTCAATAAATTCCAATTAGAACATGTTTTCATATATTTGTTTTTTTCCTCACATGTTTGTAGTAGGATCATGAAATCAATTCTGGAAATTACTTCTTCTGTGCACACGACTCCTAATGTGCAGTCATCTTGCATTCAGAATCATCCATTCAAGTAAATAGAGTGACACATTTTAGTACACCATGAAAATGGCTAGTGTTATAAATTATTACACTGAAAAAATGTGTTTACTAGAGAAAATTCTCACTCTCATCTCAATTCTTGAAAATTTTCCAAATCCTCGCATATACCCACAAAATGGTATTTTAATGGGATCACTGGTACTCTATATTGGCACAAATATTAACAAGTAAATAACAAACAACATATAATGAGAAAGCAATACAGCAAGTAGTGATAACTAAATTAATGCTAATGGAATTCAGGCTAGAAACCTAGTTGTGACCACATCAGTACTGACAGGCAGATTGCATGGGTTCAAATGGTACTAAAAGCAAAGATGTTTATATGGTTCTTTCACAAAATGTTTTGCATCCAAACTTTTTCCAACTCCAGATGATCACATGAATTCCTAGAACTCAAAAGTTATTAATTTGTGGGTAATGGTTAGCCACATACTTTTATTTCGTTATTTTATGACAATATATCAATTGCTTGGGTGACATATAGGATCAAGTAGGATACTGGAAAAGTAGTTGTAATCTGTTTTGTGGTACTCCCAGAAATTACTTGAAAGAAACAAGAAAAATTACTCAAACTCTCAGCCATAATAGCTAGTCAGTGTTGAAACCAATCACACACATTACCACTGTCTAACACACCACACACAATGTATGTGTGACATCGAAGAATTATGAATATTGATGTGGTGTATTCTGGCATTACCATCTGTATATGGAATGAGATACTGGTTGGGAATAAGGAAATTTCAGGCTACTGAAATTGGAGGCTCTTGACTATATTAAAAAAATATCAGTAAAATCACTTTACTTATTGGTATCTGTATTACAGTAGCTGTTGAAAGGTGTGTTCTCCAACATCCAAGCACATTTCACACTTACACAAAGAATTCTGTTGAAATTAGGCTGTTTTTATGGTCCTGACAAATCAGAGGCACCAGTATCCTAGCATAACCAACAAAATTACTTTCTCTTGAATTTATTTCAAGGCTAGATATCTTGGTGTGGTATCTGGTATCAGCACATGCTTTGATTTATGCCTCTTCCTGTTGCCAAATGGGCTGGTTTTATGCTGCATTTGGTTAATTTTTAAACACATGGTCTGCTAGGTAAAAGTGAATTTGATACCACCAGCAAACTTTGTAAATGTCTGTCATAAGATCTTTTCTTCTTTAAAAAGAATGCATAGTTTGGAATTATATCTTCTCAAAATTGGACACACACACAGACAATGCTCACAAATTACAAGCTACAATATAAAAAAATGTTCGGTATAAATAAACTGCACACATGTTATCATGGTAGCATCCTTGTGGCAGACTATATTTACTTTCTTCATGAGTGACTGTGCCCTGACTGGTGGATGGATAAAAGAACCTTGCACAGAATGCCAGAAACTGTCAGCTATGTATAATACATACATTTAAGATCTATATTACATTCATAAAATGACTACAACTACTTAAATATCACTTACTGTAGGATAGCTGAAAACAATTGGGTAATTCTCCAGATCTTGTGGGGATTCAACAGGTTTATTTGGATGATGGTAACCTGGTCCTTTGAAATCTTCCAATCCACTTGCATCAAATACTAACATCACAGCTGTAGCATCATAACGTCGTTGAAAATTCTGAATCCTGCAATGTTTGTTCACAAATATTTTGTTTTATCAAGAAACATAATGCTAATATTAATGGTTTTACTATAAAAGTCAAATAGCTTTCTTCACAGTAACAAGAAGACAGATCTCATCACTTAATAACATTGTAATAGTCTCACATAACTTCTATATTATTTAATCTCCCCTCCCTTCCCAGTAAAGTAGTAAATTTAACATTTACTTAAGCCCTGTTGTTGTTCACATTATACAAGACCCAAGTTTTCTAAACCCACAAATATAAATGACATTTTAATGTGATAATCTTCTTTAACTTATAAGTCATGTAGCTTCACATAAGATTCTTGCATTCCTCATTTACTTGCTGCCAGTCACTCCCTAACTTTGTCAACCACAAGACAATGGTCAGCATTGGTCATCTCTTCTCGAAGATCAGACATCAGTATCATCTGATTTCTGTACTACCATTAATCTACCCTGTACTTTTCTAATTCCCTTGCTACTGTTTTCAACAAGCCTGGGCCACAGAATCCTGCCAGTATAGTACAATTCACAGAATTATATCATGCATTTGACATTTCATATCACATTTAATCCTGTTACTGCCAAGTCTCATACATCAAATTAGCAAGAACTGCCAAGTTGTTTCATAAGAAGTGAACAGCACAAGAGAAACCTTTATGCCAAACATCAAAAAGAGTATGTGTTACAAATCAGGAGTGGGGATAGCACAGTCAGTATTGCGACTGCCTACGGGCCAGACAACAGAGGAGTCAGAGTACAAGTCCTGGTGGGGTCAATAATATTCTCTTCTCCACATTGTCCAGAATGGTTCTGCAGACCACCAAGCCTTCTATCCAGTGGGTACCAGGGGCTCTTTCCCCAGGGGTTAAGCGGCCGAGGCGTGAAGCTGACCACTCACCTCCAGCTAGTGCTGAGGTCAAGAAAAATGGATCTACACATCAACTCCCCCATATACCTTCATGGCATAGTGCTTAATTAGTTAAGCAAAGGGACAACTTTACTTACTTTTTTTTACTATGTGTTAAAATCAGACATTTTGCATGTTTGTGCCATCTCTTTCCTAGAACGTATCACTTACTTGCTACAAAGAATTACAATCTGTGTTTGGCCAGCCAGTATTGTAGCAGGCCTAGAAGTATCTACCTTATTGGCTCAAGCAGTGTACTGGTAGGTTAAGAAAGCATATTCTTTGCAATCAAGAACAAAGATCCTACAAATTATGAAGTGAGTTTGTTTCCATTCCTCTGGTACAGATATCACTGCCAATCTACACTACTAATACAACTGCGGTAAACTTTGTTTACATACTTGTGGCAGTAATCATTAGTCTGTAGCTTGCTGCAGAGAGCTTTCATCTCTTGAGGAGACGTTTGTTGTGCCAATGTTGAATGGAAGTAGAGTGAGAATTTTGCCAGAAAAGCTGTCTTCAACTTCAGTAACCACTGCAAAAGTGCTGGTAATTGACTTGTTTTCAGGAAAGTAGCCCCAAAACCCAGTTTCCAGGACTAGAAACAGAACAGCAATCAACTTCGTGAAACTTCTTTTTTATGCTATTCCCATTTGAAATAAACAGGACATACAAAATTATGTTGTACAGAACATGCAGTAGCAATAGTTTAATAATCTCACTGAAAAAAGCATGCTATAATCATGTTTTCTTAAATGTCTTGATTATCAGGAATTCTCTCCAGTCACTTCCCATTCTCATGACATTTCTCCCAGATATCCATACTGATTGTTACCAACACTTGGTTCAAGAAGCCAAAGAGAAGAATTTACACATGGAAGGCACCTGGGGATTGGAGGAGGCATCAGCTGGACTACATCCTTGTGAAACATCGATTCAGAAACAGTGTGAAGGTTGTGAAGACGCTTCCTGGGGCAGATATTGACTCTGACCACAACTTACTGGTTGCCAAGTTCCGAACCAGGTTGAAGAAAATTATAAGATTTTGAAAGCGCAGACCCAGATGGGATTTGGAGAATTTATATGCTCAAAGACAAAGCGTGCAAGAGACCCTAGAAGAGAAACTCGGTGCAATTGAAGGTGAAAACGGAAATGCTGAAGCGCAGTGGAACAATATAAAAGAATGCATGTTAGATATTATCAGTGATTTGGTTGGTAAAGTTGAGAAGATAGCAAGAAAACCATGGGTTACACAGGAGATAAATGGAGGAGTGAAGGAAATGGAAGAATGTCAACAATGAAGAGGGCAGGAGGAAATACAGGAGACTGAGGAATGAATTGAAAAGAGCCACGGACAGGGCCAAAAAGGAATATCTTGAGAAGATATGTAATGAGATTAT